CAAGCATGATCAGATAGCCAAGCTGTATAACTAAGCTCGGAAAGAGGGGGGGGGGGGGTAGTCCAGTATGATTTGACCCCTCCCCTCTCCCCTTCGATTGTATCTTTCTTGTTATTTATAGCTGCTACAACAACCACCGATTAAGCTTAGCGAACAAAAACAACACTTGTTAATAACCTCTTCTGTCAAACATTTATGCAGACCACTTTAACAATTGTTACTATAAATGTTGTATAAAATACAGATATTTTATAATTTATATTGGGATCATGCATGCCTAATTTAAAAAGGGACGAGGTTTTGCTATCAAAATGAAAACTATCTATAATCAATCAAACAACAAAGACAGTGTTGAAAAAGGGAAATATTTACGTTGTGGGTTGTTAGGGACAGAGCCAACATCGCATTATGTATACACAAGAAATAGTCACATTAGGAAAGAATAACGGTCACTTTGACTTCTCAAGTCTCGTCGGAAGACATGTTCGAAGGAGATTGTCTGTTTGACATCACGTCCGATTGGAACACGAAGATTTATTGAGTTTGTCATCCAGCGTTCAGTCAGTGCCTGGCACATTTCACTTTTTAAAGTGGTCACCTTCGACCCATTGTGCCAACAGAATTCAACATATAATATATTAACATAAATAAATATTATCGTCAATTTTGGCTGAAACATTTGACACCGAACGAAAGAAAACAATTGCAAGTTACTTAAAGCAATCTAAATGTGCAATTAGATAGATTTCGGTATTATTCCTTTGCCAGTCATCAGATCTTGGGGTCATCCGAGTTAACAATACTTCAGTAATATATTATTTAACCTAATGTCATTTAAAAAGAAACAGTAGTCCATGTATTCATTTTCCAGCTAAAGATTAAAGTCAGTGGAAAAATACATCTTTTCCTGATTGATAATATTTTGACGTCGGGAAAAATTACATTTTACGTTAGCGACGTTATTACCTCCCGTGCTACTGTATCATATATGCCATTAAAAGGTCCTTTTTGGTCATTGGAGTTGCTTACGTTTTTAAGTGGTACAATGTAATACATTTTTGACTTATAAGTTTGAATTCCAAAACAATGTAAGTAAGTACAGCACAAAACGCTTTTCTAAAATAGTATTTAATTTGATTTATTGTTATAGATATTGTTTAAGAAGATCAACTTTATATAAAGTTACATCTTGATGTTCTTTTACTTCATTCAAACATATTTTATATACTATTACGCATAACAAAAAGGATCAAACACGGGTTATCACAACTTAGATAGGCTTTTCTATCAATATAATAAGTTATAATGTATGAATATAAGATTTATAAAAATAAAAGTATTTACTTTCATTACCTAATGCCATAATTCAGTTTGGTGAAAATAATCAGCTTTGATTAAAAATGAAAATACTGTTCTTGTTTTGCCTCTACCAGTAAATAGAATTATATTTACGGGGTTGAATTAAAATAAGGTAAAAATAATCTACATTTCATACTTAAAGAAGTAGGAACCTTGATTGACAATCAGTATTCAGTATACAGATAAAGAACTTTTATACGAATACTTATATAAATGTAGTCATATGGATGTTTTGTAGTTTGAAGACTGTATGCTACATATACATCATAGCAGCAATGCATTCATCCAAAAACTGGTACAACTGTCCTGTATTGCAATCTTTGATTTGTCCTTCGACATGTAGCATGCAATTCCTCTGTCAGGTTTTTTTTTCTTTCTGGTTTGGTGGATGGAGCACCTCCTACATGTTTTGTACCAGGTTGTCCTAATACCGTTTCTATGGTTCTGATTTAACTTCTGCGGTTGTAAGAGATGAACGTCCACTTCGACGAAGAAGTCCATCTGGAATCTGTAGATGATGATGTTTTGGGACACACTGCCATCAATATAAAAGTGAAAGTAGTCTAACAATATCAAAATCTCGTAAATTGATGAGGAAGAGACAAATCAAGAAAACTGAGGGAATCGGATCAACTCCAAAAAGTGACATAGGTTGCGTCGACAGGGTAAGCGTCTCCTGCAAAACATGCATATCCCGCCATGCAAATCCAAACTCAGTGAAAATTTTACTATCGGTAAAATTACAGACGATTATATTGGTATCTAAAGACCGCGAAAATATATCTCTAGTTTATTGAGACATTATCAAATCGAAACTTACATGACTTAGTACACGTGTTCATCATCAACTGAAGTGTAACTGTTCAATATTTCATGCAAAATATAGTGTGTTGAACGAAATTTCCTGGTTTACTTAACATCATAAAAAGCAGCGCATCAAAGATATCAGGCTTGTAACTTTGTAACCTAGACGTGCGTTTCGTCTACAAATGACTCATTAGTGACGCTCGAATTAAAAAAGTTAAAAGGCCAAATAAAATACGAAGTTGAAGAGCATAGAAGGCCAAACATTCTGAAAGGTGTCGCCAAATACAACTTAGGTAATATATTCTTGGTGTAGAAAATCCTCAGTATTACGAACAATTTAAAGTTTTGTAAACAGTTAATTTATAAATATGACAATATGATGAATATCAATGATAATTCATGTAGACACGGGCGTGTTGACTACTGGGCATTACGAAATGCGATAGTGCGAGCGGGTCATTGTATCATATGAGTACATATCGAATTTAATACTATATCGCTAGCAATACCTGAAATGAAATGAGAAACAGTGATTTGTATTGGAATCATTATTCTATATGCAAAACGCATGCAGCAGTTGTTTTTTTATTTGTTTTCTTATTGATAAAGAAAATATATAAGTAGGAGATTAATATTTCCAATTTGAATCTAGTTAAGCTGCCAATAAAGAGAACCTTTTGTTTTCCAGTGGTAAATATAAATTAAAGAAAGATTTCACAGGTAAAAGAGAGTCGGAAAATACCAAAGGACATTCAAACTCATAAGTCGAAAACAAACTGACATGACAATTGCATAAAACGAAAAACGACGAAAAGACAAACAGCAGTACACAAAACAGAACACAGAAATATCACGAACCCCATTAAAATTGGGGGTGATCTCAGGTGTTTCGAAAGGGTAAGAAGATCCTGCTCCACATGTGGCACCGTCGTGACATGTCTTAGCTAGATGTTTTACTAATAGTAAAATCTTAAGCTATCTACAACAGATGCTATATATTTCGTAGGGGTAAAACAGGCAAAATGGAAATATTTCATGATTCTCCAGGAAAGAATCTACCAATTTTTCATATTAAATGTACAAGAAGTTAGCTACAATGAATTTTCTTTTCACGTGAAAGATTTGTTCTACTAGCCCAATTTGGTTGAGAAATTTTGTCTTGCACATACAAAGCAGATGCTTGGTGATTGGTTTAAAGGTGTTCAACGTTTACCATACTTGTGGTGGTTACCTCATATAGTTGACTTAAAGTCACCAAGTTTTCCATCCGCCCTGTAGATGGTTATGACACTGTGATTGTACAGTTCATTAATAACACACTAATTGCGTAAATAGATTGTGGGTATCAAATTTATAATTTCGAATACTTCAGGCAAAGATAACCTTTTTCTTCTTCTTTTTTTTAACCAAATGAGAACTTGTTTTGTTTTCAATGCCTCATCCTCCTTTACTGTTTAAAAATAGAAATTAACATAAAATGTTGAATTATTCGAAACGCTAAGGTTTCTTCCTTGGGAATATATAGCTTTAGTAGTATTTGGCTCAATAACTCTTGGTTTTCAATGATTATCAACTTCGTTTTTAATTTTGTCTCTCAACTTTTTTTATTCGAGCACCCCTGATGAGTCTTTTGTAGGTAAACATGTGTCCGACGAACCAAATTATAAGCCTGATATATCTTATCAGGTTTTACATTCATTGGGTCGATTCCACTGTTGGAGGGGGAGATGTGTCATCTCCGAGGGTATCACCAGCCCTGTAGTGTACACTTTTAAACTGACATGAAATATCATCGATACGTTCATTTTCCGTAAGTTTACTGTTGATAAAATGTTGAAATATTCACAACACAGACTGGTACAATGTACACATGTACAAAAAACATCCTGTCCAATTGAGGAATACGATTGAAAATGCCAGTTGACTATGTTGTTTGATCATAAAACTGTTGCAAATGACATGTAGTTTATGTTACACGTTTTGCTTATCGGCAGAATCTTCGATTGGATGGAAGCTGTTTGTTTGCGGCAATATTACGATTACTGTAGACTTCCTATCTCCTTAATAGGCTGATATCGTATACTGTGTAGCCCTTTACTCTCTTGTTTTTCGAGAGAGAAAAACATCTGCATTTTGCTGGAAAAGTTGTGTCAATAAAGATATAAAACTCATGCATTTCTTAATACATTTAATAAATACTAAAAGAACAGTTAATATGGAAAATAGGTATAACGAATACTTTAAAATGCTTTTGCAACATTAAGTCAGTTCAAACTAAATCAAAACCAAAGGTCATTCAACATAAGATTACAGATAGTGTTTGATTTATGATAATAAAGATTTCAGTTAAGTTACTTAATAGTTATAGTAAATACTTATTAGTAGTTTGTACTGAAAATAAGCGTTTTTCAAAATAAAAGTTTATTCAAGATAAACAGTTTAAATCTTTTAATTAAAAAAACATTTTTAAAACGATATACTAGTTTTAGAATAAAACACTAAAAACATTGCAATTAAACAAAACATTAAATGTTCTTCAAGTTCTGATGTAGTTCTTTGTAAATCAGACCTCAAATTTTCAACTGGAAATTTATTTTGTAAATGTATCATTTCATGCAGGCCTTATGAAAACATTACAGGCGTATTACAATTTTAAAATGAGCTTAAACTGGGACAAAATATTGTCAATCATAGGATTTCTTCGAAAAAGTAATGCAAAGTGATGATGTGTATACTTAAAACAATACTTATGATGTTATTACTTTAAACCGCCCCCAAAATGTTCACACGGGAAATACCATTTCGGTCTTTCTCCGAACCCGTTTATTATCAACATTCTCTGAACACTTTGATCAGAGAACTGTTCATTTCGACACTATTTCGAGGAAAAATCTAGCGACCACGTGTGTGGGATATCTGTACAGCTGTATAAATACAGTTGCAGGCCCAAACTTGGTAGACGAAAATCGACAATTCTTTAAGGTGAGTGACAAAAATTATATCATTGAATTGTTTTCTTCGATCCTTTAGTAAAGCAAGGGGTGTATAAAATTAATAAATGGAAAACGCTATTTCTGATATTTAAGCATGGATTACGACTTTACAAAAAAGAAAATATGCAAACTTAAACCGATCCTTTAGGATGAGTAGACATAACATAAAATAGAAATTGAAATATAGTGTATCATTTTTTTTTAATTCAAAATAAGTAAAACAAGTTCATTTCTAGGCTGAGGTTAATTTAGAGATAGACGCATTGTATAGACATTTGTCTATTGTTGACGACGTTCTGGTGACTATATATGTCTGTTTTGTTGTTATATCGTTCGGTAGCTGTCTAGTTTGAGTTCGCACGAAACGTGTTATCAAAAAGATTGAGACGTCAAATACATAAATCGTTTGTAAACAAGGCAACTAAATTGTTCTTAAAAGAACAGTTAAAGTCCTCTTAGCCTAGCTTTGACAGAGGAAATTACAATCTTAATTTTAGTGTAATTACAAAATGTATTTAAGCCGTAAGATGCGACAATATTTTTACACGCTGTATTTCATTGACCATTCTGTTGATTTTTTTCAGAGTATCTTTAGGTAAAGATTGAACTGAACATAACAATGTTCAGAATGAAGATATGTGTGATGTTGTTAGTGTCATTTGTTACAGCATTTGATTTGGTATGTACTTTGAATACTATAACACATTTCTACAAATTTATTCAACAGTAATAATACTAATGCGTATTTCATAATGAGGTATTTTCTAGCTCGTCTGACCAAACCTTTTGAACCCTCTTTGCAAGTAGGTAGCATTTGTCATCGTCTGTAGCATATATTAATTAATTTTGAAAATCCGAAATCAGTACAAATAATCCTTTAAGGAACTTATGTTTAACTAATGTCTAAATGTTTTTGTCAGTCAATAAATATGACAGTTTGAATTCAAATAGAATCTGTAAAATTATCTACAATACTTCGAAATTTTGTTGGTGTTTCAATTGCGTTTTACGACACCTCTTTTTATTCCTAGGACAAATGACATTGGCTTCTGGTTATGATCCAGTTCAACTCTTTTGAGATTAAGATTTTAACCATAAAAATTCTGCTTTGTTAAGAAATTTTATTTTATCCTTTACATCTCAACGAAAATAATCAAAATGTAAAATTCAATGATATACGACCAAATAACATATCTTATATTGAGACGACATTTTATATTTTAATTTGATTTTTATTTGCAGAAATTTGATTACCGGATTAGTGAAGGGAAGGCCAGATTTGTTGAAAATGTAGAAACTAATCTAGGAAAGAATATAGTTAAAATTCATACTCCAAAACACAACGATGTTCTCGAATCATACCTTATGCAAGATTTCCAAAAGGTTTGTAATAAAAAAAGGTAACACATATCATCGAACAATAAATATGAAAACACGCGAACTTGAAAATCTGAAGAATAACATTAAATTGGTAGGATGAAATAAGATGTCCGAAATATCACTGTTATTTAACCATTAATCTCCAATGATCAGCTTAATAAACCAGATGATTACCACTGTTTTGAACCATCTTGAGACACATTTGTGACTTTAAACATCTCCATTTGATATGGCGGCTAGTTAATATCTTATTTATACAACTGGTTCAGTGCTATTGATATTTGAAATAAATTCAATTTATATCCTGTCCTGACATCTCAATTATGTTTTTTTAAAGGCACATTCATCGCGACAAGTTGACGTACGATTAATGTTTACGTTTTTAGTAGGCTTGTAGATGCCAAATGAAATAACTGATTGCAAAATATGCGTACATGTATCAAGTTAGGTTAGATCGTAGAACGACTCTATATCTAGTTATATATGTCAAAATGCTACCCGTATCTGTATACATCCCACCTGCCGGACTATGTGACAATACTTAGGACAGTTAGGGCTGTTAAAAATGGAGATAACTTATCATAAGATATCACATAAAAGCATACCACTCCATATTTAATGGAAGTTCATAGCAGTATCTTCGTTCTCTGAAAATTGCCTCAACGTCCGCAACTATGCAAAAAATATTGAACATCTCCGATTTCAAAATTGTTCCCGAAAAATATATTTTTAAACTATATTGATTTTTTAAGTAAACGTTGTTACCCCGAACTGAATGACAAATATCTAAAATCAGATCGAACAGATTAGGATTGACCGTGATAAATGAGTCTGAAAAAAGTTTGAAATATTCATGAGGATTAAAGGGTTTTAACTTTAAATATCTCAAATGTAATCAGATGAGAACATGGAAAATGACCGTTGTATTTCCTAATATATTAAATTAAAAGAAATCTAAATTTATGTTTTATTTATAGGGTAAGCAAATAAGATGTCTTCCATTTTTACGTCAATGTAGACTGAGGGATATTGATAGAAAGACTTCCTCCGATGCTGGCAAAGTTACAGAGTCATTTGTACACAGCTGGGTATGCATTACACTCATGTCAATATTGATATTATGAATATTATCAAAAAGGACAAAGAAAACAAGGGGGCAATAAAAATCTATTATGCAAAGATATACAGACAACACCATAGCCAATAGAAAAAAAAAACACAAACAAGCAAAAGTCCACACAACATTGCACAGAAATAAACATTTCCCATTACAAACCCAAACAAAACCGGAATTGGGTTCCGAGTTGCTCCAGACGGGTAAGCTGTTCCTGTTCTAAATCAAAATAAGAAGACATATATTAAACAAATGTTAATAAAGAATTAGAAGCTTCTAATTGATAAACAATCAACTACTAGCTGCAAAGTATAAATTACAAAGTATACTGATTCAACAAGGAGATTGATATGATCAATGACCGAACTCTTGATTGTTCCGAAACACAAATGTATCGAGTAACGTATTTTCATATGGTGTTGGATGTTAAGACAATTTCATTACAATGATAAAAGAAAGCAATAGGAATATCAGAATACATCAGATCTGTTTTTGCTTTAAATAATGAATAGCAACACAAACAAAAAGAGTATTTAACTCCTAGTTATGTCCCGCGTACTATAGTAGAGGGGCATTATGTTTCCCAGTTTGTGCTTCTGTCCGTCCGTCCAGTAGCAGGTTAACATTTTAGTTCAGGGTAGTTTGTGGTCACATTTACTCGAAACCTAGTTTACTAGTTCATTATTAGGTGAACTGTTCAATATTTATGCCAAATATGAGGTTTTGAGCAAAATCTGACAGTTCACTGAAAGATTGAAGTGTGATGGTGCTAGTGAACATGGTGTCTTATGGATACATTTTCTAGTAAATACTATATTCAAGAGCTTCCTAACAGAATTCGCCTGATATATGGTTGATTCTTACAATGAAGTATGTGAACCAAGGGTTCTTAATGGTAAAGCTAAATTGATATCTTCGAAAGTCATAACTTGGTAGAGCGTTGCGAAAATTTCATGCCACCGATATTACTCCGGATTTGTCACGCATTTTGTCACAATCCCGTCCTCCCTTCTAGTTTATGACCTTGAATTTGAATTATCACATTAATTGAACTGACCATCATTAACACGAAGGGTGACACTAGTAGAACAATAACTGCTTATCCTTATGACATACGAATTCACGCCCAAATTTTGTCTTTACAAGGTTCATATTCCTTTCTTTCGCTTAAGTGTTCTGCGTTTTTATGGCATGTTATCTTCCTATGTCTGTGTTTCTTCGACTTGAAATTATCTTGTGTATCCTTTGTCATGAAAACAAGCAGAATTGTCGTTTGAAATTCATGTTTTGGCCACATTGATATATAATAAATGTTTTTCAGTAGGACCACAAAACCTCATAATTCCAAACTGTACTGGGTTTTTTTATTCAGCTGATATACTTATTTTTTTTAACGAATTTCAATCAATCATTCATGTTCAGTGATAAAGAGTTTTTCGTTTCAGAACGAAGGTACAAACAGTATAACAAGCACCAATGCAACAGTGATAAAGGAGATGTATTATATTGATGGCGAAGAAGTAGTTAGCACTGTTTCACTTGGGGAGGACTTGAGGACATTTTATGAAGGCTTTGAATACCCTCTTTACATTGAAAAGAACATACCCAATGACGCTGTAGTACTCAATATAACCAGGTCTTCTGGTATGTTTATTTCGAAATCTAACTGATAAAATTTCATTGGCACATCATTATAGTGACATAAGTATTGGAGGTTAATGCAATCTTTCTTAATTACTTTTGATAATATGTTAAACTATAGAATATTATATAATGCAACCTCATATATCCTTGAAACAATATGTGTAAGTTATCGTGCTATCCTTCTTTTTTTTTGTATCTCTGATCGTGGCCCACGTGTAAATCTAATTACAATGAATCAGTGATTGTCGTGTGTTGCTTTTATATCATGTTTTTTTTTGTTTTTTTTTGGGTTTTTTTTGCATAAAGTCAGTTTTCCTGTTTGGATGGTTTTACATTTTTCATTTCTGGGTCTTTTATAGCTTACTATGGGTTTTGCTCATCGTTGAAAAGGTATAACAAAAATACCGAACTCTAGGTGTAATTCATAAAAGGAAAGTCCACAACAATTGACAAAATCAAACGTTATTTAAACGTTGCACATTGTTTAAGGCCATACAGTGATCTATAATTGTTAACTTCTGTGTCATTTGGTTTATAGTGGAGAGTTGTCTCATTGGCAATCATACCACATCTTCTTATTTCTATACTCCACGACGAAAGACAGTGTCACACTTGACTTAACTTTTTCCTAACGTTTTGTCATTTTCTCAACTCTGTATCCTATCAAATTGAATTTAGACCAGTCTTAACATTTATACTGCTATTGATTAATAAAAAATAAAATATTTACTCACAACCATGTGGACATAAGATTCACCATCAGTAATTAAAAATGTATAGCAAATGTCAATGTTATAATCAGTTTGCAAATGCCTGTTATGATTTCAGGAAGACGGTTTAAAAGGACAATCACCCCACTGTCAAGTTGTGACAACGGAGAAGCACCCAAAATAGTTTATGGCATGGATACCGGGAGATCATGCAACTATCTTAAGATATGTGGAGAGTAAGTATTCTTTTCAAAATTTTGTTGCACAAAATGTGAAAAGGGATGCAATTCTACACCTCCGCACCGCATTCATTAATGGTACATCATATCCCTTTCTTTCATTTTCAACATCTTCTATAAATGTTTTGTTGTGTTATTTAAGCATACAACTGACATTTATTGCATAGTTTAAATAGACGAAACACGCGTATGGTAAATGGCATACACAATTATAACCCGATATCGTTGATGAGTAAACAGCCTGTGTCGATTCCTCTGTTTGACAGTGAACTTTTCGGACTTTAGGTTATCAAAGTTTCTGTAGGCAGCAATCCTGTGAAATATCATTGTTACGTCATTTTATGCAAATCTATGTAACTTTTGAGTTTATAAAACCTTAAAAATTTTAAAAAGTAAAATAATCATATATGTTGTGTTTGATCACAGTAGTACCATGTTTTTTCTCTTCGTTTATAAAATTTTATAAAATTACAAATTCAAGGTAGAGTGCGGTTTGAAGTGAAAAAAAAAAAAACTATCCACAGGATGAAAAAGTCAAAACATATGATATAAGCATCATGTATCAAAATAAACCTAAAATATTGTTTTTAAATGGTAGCATGTTAAACTGAAGTATATACAGTCTGGAATTTATTTTAAAACGTAAAAGAAAATATTACAGAAGCTAGCCATTAACTGATGAAACTGCCTTTCCATATCCGGATAATGAAATTCAAAGTGAAACGTGTATGCTTACTTCGAAAAGCTGTCTCGAGCAAAACACCTCTGTTCATTTTTATATTCTACGCAACATAGCATGATAATGAAATACTCTCGTATACGATTACTGAAAAGGTCTATAGACCAATTTTGTTGAATACATGTAATCCATTCTTTAACAATTTCATCTCTACCAATTCAAAAGTCCCGTGATTAACGCTTTTCATTCAGCAAGATTTGATCTTTCATTGTTTTGTTAGAAATGTATTTTCACGTAGACAAGTTGCATAACTAACACTAATAATTTCTCCTTTTTCATTTTTATCACAAAAAAATAATCATTCTTTGTAATCCTTTATGCTTACAAATGTTGCGATTTTATTATCATAATTTACTTGATTGTATATCTGAATAAATGAGATCTGTCATATTTGTTTTGACAGAAAAAAAAACATAATGCTAATTTAGATTGTGAATATATCATTAATCATCTGAATTTCTGTTTTTAGTATTGTAAGAAATGTAAACGATAGGATGGTACTCTCAAATTGTGGAAATCTACACATTACATCTCCGCTAGCATATATGTGTTTATGCTGCCCCGGGGTCACAGTCATCAATCCATCCGGACCCCAGTGTCAATGTTCAAAAATGGGACAGGCAAGCCATTAGAAAATCTATGATAAATGTGTACTGTAAGCTTGATAAGGTGTATCACCTGAATAGAAAATAAACTATTTGAAGCTTTTAACAAGTTCTTTTTGTTTGTTTTTTTTTCATATTGTTATTTCTGTTAAAAGCAACCAAAAAAATAAATAAAATACTGGATTCGGGAAATTAAAACTGAGATAGATTGATTGTTTGCTAAAGGTATCATGTCAAATAGTTCATACATATCAAGAGTCAGAACAGAACAACAAGTAATGCAATTCGAAGGTTAAACACGGTAGGTGAATTTGCTGCCTCTGGGTTACGGTCGTAAATCTAAGTTGAAAACATTGCACTTGTACACAGATAGAAAAATCAACCATTAAAGACTTAATGGAGACGACTTGAGGCGAAAAGACAGCGAAAAATAGGAATTTTATGAGTCAAAGCACGTTAGTTTGGTTCTTTTGAGTTTATTCTATTAATGAAAAAGAAAGGCGAAAACTATCGAAGGGATATTCAATCTAATAAGTTGAAAACAAACTGACAATGCCATGTCAAAAACGAAATGCAAGCTCCTAAATATCGTTTCAACTGGGAGATATATATATGTCGTATTCAGGCGCTGCTGGAATGTGCTATACAGAAATAGAAAGTTCACAATGAAGAATCTGAAATCATCTTTTTTGTCATCAAGTTTTAGTCTCAACCGACCTTGTTAGTCAAGATATGATGCAGATTTAACAGCGTTTGTTGTATAATTTATTTCAAGTTCAATTGGATAGATGAGTTCAATATAGTCATCAACATCTTTTAAATTATTTAGTGAGAGGACATCATCAATATAGCGAGACCGCCTCGGTGGTCTCGTGGTAGCGTGTTCGCCTCGAATGCGGGAGGTCGTGAGTTCGAACCCCGACCGAGTCAAACCAAAGACTTTAAAATTGGTATTTGCTGCTTCTCCGCTAAGCACGCGGCATTAAGAAGTAAGAGTAAAGACTGGTCGGCTCGGGGTCAGAATAATGTGTCCAGGTAAGGTGACGACATATCTTCCTGCGGACTGTTACCTTGTGAACTCTCACGCTAAAAAACCGGCTTAGCGGATCTGTCTAGTACAAAGCAGGGTAAATATTCAAAATACATTAACATTTTCTCGTCCTGAATATGCATATTAATTTGCCGCTGGACGTTTAGCAGCCATCCATCCATCAATATAGCGAATTTATCAGAACTCAATATAAGAATTTCCTGTATGAAGTCAGCATCATATGAATAAAGGAACAGGAGGAGCAGAGCTGGTTCTTAAGGGAATGCCGATTGTTTGTAGAATCAGAGTTTTTTTTTTTTACAAATTAAGATTTTCCTCCCTAAGACAAGATACTTGTATCTACGTTGGCCAATCTTTTTTATGAAACAAAGAAGGACCAATTCTGTCAATTTGTCTTTTAGTTCGGAATGGGAAATACTTGTGTAAGGTGTAGAAAAGTCAAATGTTTTAATACTATTACAAGATGAAAGAGATTTAGATTGTATGTACTCTCACAGATCTTTTGATTTTGTAAGTGTCCACATCTGATTTACGCCGCCCCTAGAGTAGGTAGTTTCAGAATAACTTTGAAGCCAGGCTTTGATTGCTGATAAAAATTGATGTTAATAATTTAGAGAGAGCTTTTGTGGCGCACTTGGACCAAGCAATATAACGTAATAATAATAATGTTTGTAAGGACACTTACACGTAATTTAGGTATCCAATACAGTGAAAGAAGATCCAATTCTTCATATTTTGTTGAAATTCCAAAGAAACATAGAACAGACCTATGATAATTCAGCATTTGTTCCTTGGTAAGTGTCGATCGGATATATGCTGAGTTTTCAAATGAATTTGTCAATACCTAACTTTTTTATCAAGCAGTTTATGCAATGTGATTTACACACAAAAACGATGTTGTTCGGAACTTTATCTGTGGGGACAACAACATATTTGTCATGGGGGTACGATAGATGCCTAGAAACATGTTGGTTTTTAAAAATTGAAGTAGCATGTGTATTCATAGACCCATTCAGGTTTTTATTTTTTTATTTTTAATTTATATCAACGACCTTGCTGTCTTCATCCATTCTGAAAGAGTATCTACGTCTTCATTTTCGCGTTTAGCTCATTGCCTGGCATATCTTCTTTTCTTGATATTTTTGCAGTTTACAGTATATCTCAATCTATAAAGATACATGTATAAAAGTCTTCATCAGCACCTCATAAGGAACATTCATGCCATGTTTGGTTTCATTCCATTCAGTGCTCCTCTAGAAGAAGACATTTGTATGTATTTCCCATAGGGTCTGATGTTAAACTAAGTCCCCTACTGGTGGCCATCTTGGATGATGGTTCGGCTACAAAGTAACAACACTTGGTCAGCACCTCATTAGGAACATTCATGCCATGTTTGATTTCATTCTATTCAGTGGTTCTCTAGAAGAAGATATTTGTATATATTTCACATAGGGTCCTTTGTTAAACTAAGTCCCCCGTTGGCAGCCATCTTGGTTGATGGATTTGCTAAAAAGTAACAACACTTGGTCAGCACCTCATAAGGAACATTCATGCCATGTTTGGTTTCATTCCATTCAGTGGTTCTTCAAAAGAAGACTTTTGTATGTATTGTCCATAGGGTCCTTTGTTAAACTAAGTTCCCCGCTGGCAGCCATCTTGGATGATTGATTGGCTACAAAGTAACAACACTTGGCAGACACCTCATTAGGAACATTCATGCCATGTTTGGTTTCATTCCATTTAGTGGTTCTCTAAAAGAAAACATTTGTATGTATTTCCCATAGGTACCTATGTTAAACTAAGTCCCCGCTGGCGGCCATCTTGGAAGATTGATCGCCTACAAAGTTACAACACTTAGTCAGCACCTCATGAGGAACATTCATGCCATGTTTTATTTCATTCCATTTAGTGTTTCTCTAAAAGAAGACATTTGTATGTATTTCCCGTAGGGTCGTAGGTTAAACTAAGTCCCTCTCTGGCGGCCATCTTGGAAGATTGATTGGCTTTAAAGTAACAACACTTGGTCAGCACCTCATAAGGAACATTCATGTCATGTTTGGTTTCATTCCATGCATAGGTTATCTAAAAGAAGACATTTGTATGTATTGTCCATAGGGTCCCATGTTAAACGAAGTCCCCCGCTGGCGGCCATCTTGGATGATGGATCAGCTACAAAGTAACAACACTTGGTCAGCAATTCATAAGGAACATTCATGTCATGTTTGGTTGCATTCCATTCAGTGGTTATCTAAAAGAAGACATTTGTATGTATTGTCCATAGGGTCCTATGTTAAACGAAGTCCCCCAGGTGGCGGCCATCTTGGATGATTGATCAGTTACAAAGTAACAACACTTGGTCAGCACCTCATAAGGAAAATTCATGCCATGTTTGGTTTCATTCCATTCAGTGGTTCTCTTGGAGAAGTTCAAAATGTATAAAGTAAACGACGACGGACGCCAAGTGATGAGAAAAGCTCACTTGGCCCTTCGGGCCAGGTGAGCTAAAAGGGGAAAGTCCATAAAAACTGACAAGATCAAAGTTAAACGTTATTAATCAACTGTACCCGTACTGGAAAAAAAAACAAAAAAAACAACTGCCACATTTCTGATTTGGTACAGGCATTTTCCTAAGAAAATGGTGGGTTAAACCTGGTTTTATACCTAGCTAATTAAAACCTCCCACTTAAATGAAAGTTGTTTTTAGGTCCGTTTGTATGGACAAAATCTGGTGAGCAACCCAAACAGACATAGTTGGTTAATGTGACAATAATTTGGATCCAGCAGCCAAAACTGTGTAAACATACACCACAGACAAACAACACAACTAACTAAAAAATTCAAACAAAAATACAAATTAATCTAACAAAGACGCCAACAAAAAAGTTGTAGTTGATAGTTAACTTGACAATGACGTCCACAAAAACGTATTTTGAAGTTTTATTTCTAATTGGTGGATTTTGGCTCACGATATCGATGATTCGGGCCTTTGGATAATACATTTCGCAAAGAAGTGTTATTGACAATGTTCAGGTTACCAGTAATAACGTGACCAGCTGTATTATATATGAATGGGGATCTAGTACAGTTACAGTCAGGAGGGTAACTAAGACTTGTAGTTGTCAACTTTGAGATCCTGCAAGACGTGTTTGTAACTGAAAATTTTTGTTGCAATTGATTTGGTACAGATTTTAGTGATGATATGTACAGACTGATCTTTGAAGTAGGGAGGTATTTTCGAGTGGACTTGATGAAGGATATTGCTTAAATAGGTAGCATCGAGACCTTTGTTTGCAAAAAATTAGTTTCAGAAAGGATGTCAGTTTGTCCTTTTCATCCGTCCTTTCCAATGCGAACCGGTCTGAATAATCTATGACTGGCAATATCCGAGATGATAGCTGGAAGTTTGTATTGGTTTGAATGGAACCAATCTATGCATTAGAACAACGATCATTTACTGGATTATGGTAAAGTAAATTGCAACATCCGATGGATTTTATAGCAACTTTGATGATAAAAGAATCCTTTCCTGCAGCTCAGTGAATGTAATATTACTATATATTATCAACTGTTATAATCCTAATTCTAATGAAATTACAAACTTAGTTTGGGAGAACATAAATTATTATAAGTAATAATTGGCTTTGAACTAGCTTTCAGTAACTGCGAGTACTCTTATATCGGTGCTTTGTGTCTATTGTTTTTATGTTACTAGTAGTTTTTTTTTTTTTTTTTTTTTTTTCTACCGATCTATTGGGTTAAGCCATTGTCAAAACGGATTTCTACAGTTTGTTCTTATTTTGTGCTGTTACATCACTGTCTCAGGTTATGATGAGAGTTGAGCGCTCACAAGCATGACTGTTTAACCCCACCACATTCTTTATGTGTCTCTCCCAAGTCAGAGATTGGTTCATGTCTGTCATATTCGTTTTTTCGTTAATTCTATTGTTATAAATTACGCCGTTAGTTTTCTCGTTCGAATTGTTTCACAGTTGTCATGCTGGGACCTTTTATAGCTGACTACATGATATGTGTATTTCACATTGTTGAGGGCTAAACTT